GCGCCTTTGAGGGGCTTTGGGCTGGATTCTGTCACCCCCAAAAAACCAAAACACCCCAGGTGCCCCCCAGGGCTGGAGCAGAGCACAACAGGGGGAGCGGCCCCTTCTCCTCCCTCCCCTTCTCCCCAGCAGCCACAGTATCCAGTGGTTTTGTAAAACGGTTTTACTCTTAATTAAAAAAATAATTTACTCCCCTGGGACTGAACAGGGGCGAGAAGGGCAGAGCATCCCAGTCCCGGTGTCCCCCACACCCAGAGCTTCACCAGGGGTGGGGACACCCCCAGGGTGACAAACACAGGGAAATGGGGGGGGGTCCTGCCCTGACTCCCCCCAGGGCATCTGGCCCACCCTGGCCTTCCCCAGAGGCTCAAACTGAGGGAAAGGAGTTCAGAGAATCTGGGAACAAAGGGAAGAGGGTGGTGGTCAGACCCCAAATTCCCCAGGAGCACCAGTCAGACCCCAAAGGCCCCCAGGCACTGGGCAGACACAAATTCCCCCGGAGCAGGAGGGGTGAAGGCTTTCACAGGAGGGTCTGGCTGTGGGGCCACGGCTCCCTCAGCCCTCAGGAGGCACCGGCAGCGCCGAGCAGAGCATGGCCTGGCCCTCAGGCTCCTGCTTACCTGGGGAAAAGGAGCATTTGTGAATTTGGGGGTGATTTAGGGGCTTGTGGAAGCCCCCATTCAACAAGACTCATCCAGCCCCATCCCAGCAGCCCCCACAAGTGACACCCCGCTCCCCCTTACACGAGAGGCACTTGAGGACGTTGTGGAAGGAGCCACCAGCGGTGCTGAAGGCCCAGAGGCCAGTGCAGAGCGTGAGGATGAGGATGGGGCCCAGGCTGGCCTCGTACCACGGGTTCAGGAAGGTCTGGGGACACAGAGAGAGGTCACACCCTCCTGAGCCCTCCAAGGTGGAAACCTGACTCAAATCCCTGCTGAGCTGTGTGCTCCCAAATCCCCCGTGTGGCCCCCAAATCCTTCACATCCTCAAAGAGCTGGGGGTGCTTGGGGGTGTAACTGCCCCCACAGCCCCAGGCAGGGAGTGAGGGGCAGTGGGTGGGGGTTCCTG